AAAATGAAAAAAAAAAAAGTTTTTTTTTTTTTTGGTTTTATTTTTTATGGGGTGGTTTTTTTGGATCTGGGAAATTCTTGGCTTTCGTTTTCTTGGGAAAAGGATGAATTAGAGGGAACTGGGGATGTGGAGTTTTCAGTATTAGGGGACTCGTGTGTGTGTATCATCTTTTTTGTCTCATTTTTTGTCCTTATTTGTGTTGTTTACAGATCTGCCAGAATTTGAAAATGTTGGCTCAGAAGCAAGCAGAAGAAGCTATTGTCCCAAACTTCAATGAAACTGAACATGATGGTGGAAAAGAATTAGAAGTTGAGAAATTAGAAGATCACTCCATTTTTAATGTCAAGAGTTTCCTCTGGCATGGTGGTTCTGCTTGGGATGCTTGGTTCAGTTGTGCTTCTAATCAAGTAAATATATCACCTTTTTTTTTCCCTTAAAAAAAAGCCATAAAAATATTTCATTTTGATGAATTTAATGTGTTGTTTTTACAGGTAGCACAAGTGCTATTGACATTACCATACTCTTTTTCTCAACTTGGTATGGTATCAGGCATAGTGTTCCAGATCTTCTATGGTCTTGTTGGTAGCTGGACTGCATACCTCATCAGTGTTCTCTATATTGAATACAGAAGCAGAAAAGAAAAAGAAGGTGTTAGCTTCAAGAATCATGTCATTCAGGTATATATATATATATATATATATTTTTTTTAAAGAATTTTATTCTTATTTGTTGTAGGATTTCCTCTGCAGACTCTTATAGAAATACGAAGTCTACACTTTTTCTAGAGCTTTGTGCTCCGAACTGCCTTTTTAATTCTAAAATTCATTTCTGTCGAACACTCCCAATATTTATTTGATTTTTTCTTGAAATGGCAGTGGTTTGAAGTGTTAGATGGACTACTGGGACCATACTGGAAAGCAGCAGGCCTTGCCTTCAACTGTACTTTCCTTCTGTTTGGATCTGTCATTCAACTAATTGCTTGTGCAAGGTATGGACTTATTGACTTATGAACATGATCCCTTTCATTTTAAAAAGGAAAAAAAGTACTACTGGTGTACATTTCTGAACTGGAATTTGGTTAAAACGTGATCTTGATAGTTTCTTTTTGGATGGTTTCTTGACTTGGAACAGTAATATATATTACATCAATGATCATTTGGACAAGAGGACATGGACATACATATTTGGAGCTTGTTGTGCTACTACTGTTTTCATTCCTTCTTTCCACAACTATCGAATTTGGTCTTTTCTGGGCCTTGGGATGACCACTTACACTGCTTGGTACTTAACCGTTGCAGCTCTTGTTCATGGCCAGGTAAATAATTAATGCATATTACGTGCTATATGTGAATATACAATGATAGTGTAAATTATTGTTTTCACTATTATAAATAAGTCAAATAAATGAAAAGTTATTTGTATGTATAGGTTGAAAATGTTCAACACTCTGCTCCAAACAAGCTAGTGTTGTATTTCACTGGTGCTACCAATATCCTTTACACCTTCGGTGGACATGCTGTTACTGTGTAAGTTATTTCTTACTGCTGCTTTCTTCTTAAAAATAAATATGAATATGTTATCTAATGATATATATATATATCATCTTCTTCTTGGTCCGCTCTAGTTTCTACACAGTTTCTCTTTGCAGCTTTTGCCTCCTACCTCGGGGTTTGTCTACACCCGACAAAATCATGAAAAAATAACCTTTTCTTTTAATTTTGTAAGCTGGAAAAACAACATTACCCCATTCCATTTCCCTTCACATGAAAAAACAACAGTGAAATGGACCTCTTTTTTTTCCTTTCATTATATACAATTTTCTCACTTTTGTTTCCCTTTAAATACTACTTTTTCCCAATCTTACCATATTGCCTATGATCTTATCCTCGTATCTTGGCATGTTCGTGGTACATGGAAACTAGCTAAGCCAAAGACTTGTTTAGTCATTAAATGCATCCCATTAAGAATACTTCATACATTTAATGGTACAGCTTAGAATTGTATTTAAAGAATCCAATGCCCCATATTGTCAAAGTACTTACTTTATATGACTTG